GCCCTTCAGATATAGGAGATTCGAAATAGAGTATGTCAAGTCAATGCAAATGTACCGAATATATTTTTTTGTGATTAAAAATATTAAAACATAAGTAATATAAAGATGCCATTGCACTGTGACATTTTAAATAAATATATTTAAATAAATATAGGGAAATGATTGAAGACTATGACAAGGTATTCTCTCTGAACCCAAGGGGCTTAGGATCCAATGCTGGGGAGAGGAAACCAACACAAGGAAACATACTGAATCCTTCTAAAAAATAAATACCAATGTTAGACTTTAACAAGTCAATTCCTATAAAAATAGTAGAATCAAGGGCCAGAAAATCAGATTTTTTTTTTAATTAAAGAGAAAGAAATGGACTAATGGAGGTGTAGCTAGGATGGAGTGAATTTCAAAGTGAAGAGATTACGCTTGACAAAACATAAAAAGGTAAGTTTGCTGGGAGCAATAATACAGATAGATAATATCTTGTCAGTTCGCATCACATCAGGCACTACTCTGGGAGTTTGACATATATTAGCTCATTTAATTCTTTCAACAGCCATGTGAAGGTAGTACTAACATTGTCCCTATTTTACATGCAATGAAATGGACATGGAGAGGTGGGTTCAGTGGCTGGCCCAAGATCTAAGAGCTAGAAGGTGGCAGAGTTGGTTATGACCCAGGCAGTCTTTGTCCAGAGTCAACACCTGCCTGAGCCAATGGAGTAGAAGAGGGGTTCCCTTCAAATTATAGCCTAAGATACAAAAGACTGAAGAATGGCAAATACTCTGGTTTTCAAAGAGGAGGAAACCATTTTATGAAATACTCTAGAAAACAATCTTAAACAGATTATTAAACTATGTTTTATTAATGCTTGGAAAAGAAATTGTTGATCATGTAGAGTGAATGTTGTTTCCTCAGGAATGAATTATGCCAAATTCAATTCATCTCTTATAAAAGGTGAGTTGAATATTCCATTTCTTTATGATTCCTATAAATGATAAAATATGAATATAAGGTAGGCATAATGTACCTTGATTTCAGCAGAGAAGTCTTTCTGTCTTATTAAAGATTACAAAAATCTTCAAAATGGTCTTAAAAATGAAAGTTAAATAAAGTCTTGATCATTTAGTGTGAATGGATTCATAGCTACAATGCCTCGCAAGTGCTTATAAGTGAGTCAATGCAAAGATGAATGGATGTCTCTAGTGATGCACAAAAAGTTCTGTATTTAGGTTAAAATTATCCATCAATCAAGTACTGGATGGGACTGAGTAGGAATTTATATTTAAAAAAGTGTGCTAAAAGTTCACTTGACTAAAAGTTTGAGGCGATTCAAAGCCTATGATAGTAAAAAATGCCAGTACAATCAAAGAGAGTGCTACCAGAAATACAGTGTATGGACAAGGGAGGTGATAGATGGCAGACTGCTAAGACCTCATTGAAACAGTCATGTTCCACCTGAGTGACACATAATGAAGGGAAATAATTAGGAAGGCAACCTGGATGGTAAAAATTTGGACATTTAATGGATGAACAACAGAAGTTTAATCTGTAGAACAGATGTGTGTGTGTGTGTGCATGCGCGTGCACGTGTGTGTGGTCCAGACATAAGTATTGAGAATACACTGTATTTGATCTCTTTTTGAGAAACAGAATAGCCTGATCTGATTCATGTTTCAACAAGACCACGCTTCTGCTCTGTTGAGATAAGAGTGGAGGGAGGGAAGAAGGAAGCAGGGAAATAAGAGAGGTGGTAAAGACCCAGAGGATCAATGAAGGTTACCTGAATCAGAATGATTCAAAGTGGGGAAATGTTATATCTTTTTGGCTTTACTGTGTGTTTAAAGGTGAAGCCAACAAGGTCTGGTAGTGCTATCTGCAGGATGTGAAACAGCATAACCAAGGTATTTGGCCTGATCTTTTTATTCATAATAAAAGTCCGGATTTTAAAGGAACCTCTGAAACCTTCTAAACAAGCCTTTGATCCTTTAAAGGAGTCCTGCCAACAACAAGCTGCTCCTGCTTGAGCACTTCCTTGACAAGGACCTCACTGTCTCCCACAGCACTCACCCCACTTTAGGAGAGCTCTGGTTTGAAGAGCTCTTTTTCTCATACTGAGCCAAAGCCTGCCTCTCTGTGATGGATAAGTGTGATATTGTGATTTATAAGAAATACGTATTTGGTCTTTGTCCCTGTTTCTGGCACAGAACTCCTAAAACCCTTGGAATTTCCTAAGTGGTAAGAGCCATTCAGGTGTCTTAAAATTCATAACAAACCCCTTTCAAGCACACCTGAGTTTACGTTAATGAGGTGACTTTTGGAAAGCATCTGATGGTGGGGGCTGGACACCAGGGGTAGCAATCACATGATTAGAAGGCTGGAACTTTCAGTTTCATCCCCCCAACCTCTGTGGAGGGGACAGGGGTTGGGGATCAAGTTCAGTCACCACTGGCCAATGACGTAATCAATCATGCCAACGAAATGAAGCCTCCACAAAACCCCCAAATGATGGGGGTCGGGGAGCTCCAGGTGGGTGAACTAGAACGCATCCACGGGCTGCCATGCCTGGACCCCAAACTCCAAGGGGACAGAAGTTCCTGCATTCAGAACCTTGCCCTGTGTATCTCTTCTTCTGGCTGTTGATTTTTATTTTTTAATATCTTTTGTAATAAACCAATCTAGTGAAGCAATCTAGTGAGTAAACAGATTTCCTGAGCTCTGTGAGTCCATCTAACAAATGAATTAAACCCAAAGAGGAGGCTGGGGGAACCTCTGATTTATAGCTGGTCAGTCAGAAGCACAGGTGATGCCCTGGACCTGCGACTGGCATCTGCATTGGGGGCAGCCTTGTGACACTGAGCCTTAAACCTGTGGATCTGACACTATCTCCACGTAATACTGTCGGACTTGAGTTGAATTCTAGAACACCCAGCTGGTGTCTGAGAATTGCTTGGTTTGGGTGAAAAAACCCAGACATTTCAATTGGTGTCCGGATTGTAACAAGTGAATGAGAAAAGATGACAAACCTGGGAGGAGGGTGGGTAAGAGGAAAGTGGGGAGGAACTGTATGTGTTTCTTCACTGGTACCTCCCCAGCACAGAGCGCAGTATGTGTCATTAGGTATGTAATAAATATTTTTCACTGTCTGAGCAATTTGGCAAAAGAGCATTGGGTCATAATGATGTGACCAGAGGATAGTAGTTCATTATTTCTTAATGAGATTTAAAAAAGAATAAAATTAAAATGTTTTCTCTATCCGCTATGCTTTTATGTTTTGTTGATTCAGCGAGTTTGTACATGATGACGGTGGTTTTAAACAAATGAATACCATTGTATTCTAGTTTTGGGCTTCTGTGTGTCCTAAATCTCAGCTACATTTAAGTTTTCATACCCTTCAAATAAGGAGGGCTATCCAAAATATGTAGTGGTACAGTTTGGCCACCAACTAATCAGAAAGGGTGCTAGCTAGTCTGGTGACTATCAGCCTGTTTCCAACTATGGGAGAATCAAGCTATTAAGAGCGCTGAGTTGAAATACTACATATTTCTATTTTGTCTGTATTGTAGTGAACAGACCCTGTCTTTAGCTCCTGCTGTGCACTTTTGAGGGGTCTTCCATATGGTTGCTGCTAAGTATTTTGGCATTTTCCCAACTGTTCCAATTGGGTCAGTGGGGGGGCTTGTGTAGGAGTAATAAAACAAGGGTGACTGCGGCAGGCAGGACTAGATTACCACACACATAACAGCTCATCGACTCTCAGGCACTCAAGCACAGCTCAGTACCATTCCTGACAACAGGCAGCCTAGGCAAACCGTCCTTCTGCTGCAGACTTTACTCCAGGGAAGGCCGGGCGTGGGGGCAGAGACCAGGTCTCCTCGTTTACATTTTTTCCTGTTTCTTTACTTGTTCACCTTTCCATAACATCTAGAATAACTTGAGGAGGGTAAGACAATGATGGCTTGCAGATTCCTATGTCATTCTGAGAAAGTTTCCATGAGCAGACTCAGCTAGATGTGAGCAGCAGCAGGCTTATCAGTGGCCCTGAGGGCTTTGATACCTTATGAGGGGACAAAAATGGGAAAGGGAAGTCTGACTGCCACAAATGCTTAAAAATCCTTGAGACATGATTCCTAAAGGCAGAGATGACTGATAATATTGACACTAGTATTGGAGTGTCTTTCCTATCAGAAATCACATCTATGAAAAAAACGCCTCCCATTCTTTTTATCCTGCAGAAGGCAGTGTTGCTTAAAGCACTAATAAGGGAGGGAAAAGTTCAAAGCAAAATTAAGATTCTAAATATCGAAATAATGTAAACTGAGATATGTGTGTACGTACACACACACACACACACACACACTGAAGTAAAACGATGAACTTAAGATCTTGATCCAAAGATTGTATTTTCCATATTTATGCTTACACACAGGATTCTTTAAATAATTCATTGTGCTTTTCCTTTAACATGATACGGGCCTTTTTCTTCACATTAAACACCAATAGACAGCTATGTAGCATTCTAACAGGGTCACAGTATAGCCATCCATTTTTCTTGAGCCATTACAAGAAACTGAGATTTTAAAGAAATAGATTTGGAGACACTTAAACCGGCATACAAATCTGCGTGGATTTTTTTTCACGTTTCCTGCCAAGAAGAATAAATAGTGCTGCATTAAAGAAGTTTCTCCCCTTCCTCCTCCGCCATCCCCGAGCCCAGAAGCCCATCCCGAGGCCCGCGGCGGTGGTCGCAGCCCGGCCCGGCAGCGCGGCGGGGCGCCGGGGAGGTGGCGGAACCAGACAAGCGGGAGGGGCGTGACCTCCGGGACAGCCCCGGGGCTGGACCCCAGTAGGAAAGGCCTGGAGGAGGGGGCGTGACCTCCGGGGCAGCCCCGGGGCTGGACCCCAGCAGGACCCGCCTGCACCTAGGGAAGTACCGACACTGACAGCAACCAGGTGGTCGCATGAATCAACTGGTTCCGGGACCCACGCTCGTCCTAGGACTCCGGGGACCCCTCCTGCCAGCCTCCCCTGGGCAAGGAGGAAAGCGTTACACGCGGCTCGGGTCTGTCACAGTCAGCACGTAGCCCGCCCCAGAAGACCCCGCCCGGGGGACGTCCCCGCAGCGCGACCCCGGCCGAGCGCGGGCGGCCACGCCGGCTTCAGGCGCTGCACTGCGCAGGCGCGCGCACGGTGCGCAGGCGCCGCCCAGAAGTGACTTCTCCAAAAAGTGTCTTAGTTGGCGGTCACCTGAGCTCCGGGCGCCCGGCTCCCGTAGGCTGCGCGGCCGCCGCCTCCGCGGGTCTTGCGCGGGGCCTCGCCCTACTCTCGCGCCCGTCGCTGCCTCGCCCCCGGCCCTCCAAGGGCGCGTTCTCCCCTCTGTCCTTTGCGGGCGGGCCGGGCCGAGCCGGGCCGAGCCGCCGGTGCCGTCCGACCATGGCGTCCCTCTTCAAGAAGAAAACCGTGGACGGTGAGTGCCAGGCCGCGCCAGGGCCAGTCCGCGCCTCCCCGGTGTCCTCGGGGCTTCGGCCGCGACCCTCCCGCGGGCCCGGGGGCGGGGCTGGAGCGCTGGCCCCACAGGTGACCGCCCTCGCGCGTCGCTTCCCCTCTTCCGCCGCTGCCGACGCGCCCGCCCCGCCGCCTCACCTGCGCGCCCAGGCCTCCCGCCCGAGCCCCCGCGCCCCTTCTTTCCTGAGCGAGATCTGGGGCATTTCCAGGAGGCAGGATGCTGCTGCCCCTGCGCGTCGCTGGGCTTGGGACTTGGGTGAACTCCCTGTTGGTTTCGTGGGCCGGGTCTGCTGCCCCTTCGGTTCGGAGCTGCCCTGCTTCCAGGCGTCCGAGCCCTAACCTGGGTGGAGGTGGGGAGGGTCTCGGTGAGCCTGGGTCTGCGTGCGTCCTGCCCTCGGAACACCCCGTCTATAGAGGGAGACAGATGCTTCTTGACTGGGTCCAGTAGAAAAGTAAAAGAAACCCAAGGGAGATGCCTGCGTGTAGTTTTCATGATGGATTTTCCTCCCTTATGATTATCTCCGCTGTCTGTAGTAAGAGACGTGGTGTGTTATCTGCCTAGAAGTTTACATTTTAGGATACTTGCATTATTTCAGCTGTTTAGCTCAGGGCCATCTTAAGATGAAATAAGTGAATGTACAGGAATATACAAATTGGTGTTTATAACTGTGCCTGTAATGTCTGTTTATAGAACGTCGGTTAATTAGTCTTGATATTTTCATTGACAACTACCAGGAATCGGATTGATTCAAGTTATTTAAAAATCGTGTTTCCCATGGCATGTTGAGTCTAGGTTGCTGCTGGTTCAACCAAAGAATCGCTTCTTTGTGAGGGTCTGACAGCCGCAGGAGGAGCAGTGGTGGCGAGCCGGTGGTTGGTACCACAGGGAGCTCTTCAGTCCAGACCTGGCCAACTCCTTCCTTCCTTCCTTCCTGTTGACTCTCTCAGAGCCCGCAGAATTATTTTGGGGAGGATAACAAAAACATCATCTTTACCGCTGTCCCCTTCACCTGAGCACATAATGTCGTATTACTGCTAATTTATCACACAGCCTAACACATTTTTGCTTACCCTGAGTGGGTGAAAAATTTTTCTTTTAATTTATTGATTTTATTAGCCATTTACAATACCTAGAATAACTACCGAGTTGGTTTAGGATGTGATGCAATTATGTGAAATGGGTTTTATGTGTGTTTTTTCCTGAGAATGCTGTTTAATCTTTAATGTGGCACTTTATTTTTTCAGTGTTTCAGTGCTAATATTGTGATTTTCAGTTATTGCATGGTACTCTGGGGGAAAAGAAAGGTTTATTTTTTGGTTTCAGTTTTAGATAGAAGTTACTGAACAGAAGAAAAGGGTTGCATCTTTCTTACTGTGTTATTACAAATTAAATTAAAAAATTTTTAGCGTTTAAGGCAAGCATCTAGCTTAAATTGCTTATCATCTGTCAGATATTTTCAGAGACATAATTGTCGGTTTTACACTCTCATGGCTGTACTTCCTGGCGCTTTTGGCAATCTAGTGACTGTTGGACTTGAGGTATAGAGCAAAATAAGAAAAAAAGACAATGAGGATGTGCAGGCAGGGCGTTTAACCGTATGCTCATTTGCAGTTGGGTTAATTCATCCAAGAAATTACCTTTTTTTTTTTTTGCTATATAGACTTATTTGTGAAAAAAAAGTTTTAAGGACTTTTGCTAGGAACTGTGCTACTAATTTAAAGATCTGGGTATGAAATTTCTGAATGTAAATTTGGCTACCATGTACATTTATTATAACCACCCAACTGGGTACCTGATGTTTTCTGAAATTGTCATGTCAATTCAAATCACTTAATGACATCTGTTACAGATCTATACTTTCATTAGTTTGACATAGAGCTTTACTGATGTTTTTACTCTGTTTTATTAAAAAGAAGGTGTTTTGTTTAAAAGGTGACAGCATTCTTCTTAGCAGTAATGAGGCTATATATTATGCAGTGTAATGTATTTTTATGCATTTCTGACAGATCCTTGGACTGGTTGATTATTGATCATAAGATCTTTTACTGTATGCTGTCTTTTTATCTGTTTCAGCAGTAATGAAATTCTGATATATAAGGGAAGTATGTAACTGCTTACAGATCTGGAGAATAATTGAATCTTTTTGTCTCTTTGGATTGGCTGGAAGAGTTGCATACTCTATCATTAAAGACTACGGCACATGTAAATTAAAAAGGGAGACAACATTACAGCACTGATTACTATTCAGAGTTATGTTTAATTCATTTTTGACACAAAGATGAACAAGTCTCTGCAGTGTATACTTTGTTACAGAAAATTAATGAGAACTGTACCTCAATGCCATAGAAGAGAAAGATTCTTTTGAATTTGAAATTGCAGTTGAGTACTTGGTTTTCTTTTTACTGATTTAGAAGATGTATACATATATATAGGGTAATGTGTTCATCCGCAGTGTTTTTTCCCCTAAGTTCACTAATGGTGACCTATTTATTGAAGCTAGTTATGAACTTTTGTAAATCAGGATGCCATGAGGACTTGTCATAAATGCACAACTAAATATGCCTCTTAAAAAGTGAAATTCTTTAAGCACTGTATAATTTTTTTCTGTTATCCTTAGCATAGGTATATTTGAGGTCCTACTCTAAGCCAGCCCTGTGTTAGCATTTTGTATGCAGTATCTTGTTTCATTCTCCCAGACCTGTGAGGTTAGTACTCTTATTACATGCACTTTACAGATGAGGAAATTGAGAGGCAGTAACTTGCCCAAGATCACACAGCCACTAAGTGGCAGAGCCAGGACCTCCTCCCTTTGGGTATTATCATTGTTCTTTTTTTCGTATTAGAGAGCCTATGCATTGGTTCAGTTTTGCTGTTCTCGCTAAGCACGTGAGATTCTCAACTTTCGGTGGGTACCGTGTAATGTTAACCTTTTGTCTGTGAACCAGACTCTTCTCTGACTTAGTGGTAGAACTTCACTTTCTCCTGGTGGCAGAACTGGAAACAATCCTCCTTTTCCTGACTCTCCCTTGACTCAGCACTTCTTAGGAAATATTGTCTAGTCTCTTTTTGCTCTTCTTCTAAACCTCTTGAAGGAGTGGTGCTGTCTCGTGTCTCCACTTCTTTGCTTCTCGGATGCACCCATTCTGTAGCACTTGGCTTTACATCTCATGTGATGAGGTCTTGCTGAGATCATCAGTGACTTCTAGATTGTCAAATCCAATGGCCGTTTTTTAGTGATCATCTCTGGGACCTATGTGTTTGCATTTGATCCTGGTAATAATTTCTTCCTTGGAACTCTCTTTTAGCTTCCCTGATATAACACTCTTAATTTTCCTCAAGTTCCTCTGACCACTCTTTTTCTTTCTCCTTTCAGGTTATTCTCTTCTTTTTTCCTTACTCCCACTCTCCCTCCCTCCCTTTCTCCCTTTGTCTCTTCCTTTGTTTTTTGTCTTTTTTTTTAACCTACCCTTTAAATGTTAGTGTTCTTCTTGGTTCCATCTTGGGCCACCACTATTCTAACTGTACATTCTCTCCTTGCATGATCTTATCCAAATTCTCATTATTTTAGTTATAACCTGAGTGCTGATGGATCCCACATTTGTATCTCCAGATATATTTGTTTGAGTTTCAGACCAGTGTACTCAATAGTTTGCCGAATGCCTCTACGTAAATGTCCCAAGGTACCTCACATTAAAGAGATCCCAAACAGAATTCATCAGCATTTCCTCTGAGTGAGTTCCTTTCCTGAGTTCTCCTCGTCCAGGGTTGGCAGTTCTTGCTTTTGCCCTCTACCTTCAATTCAGTACCAAGTCCTGCTCCTTTTGTCTCTTAAGTATTTGACACATGTGATCTTCCTCTGCTTGCCTTCAAGTCCTTGCTCTAGTTCAGATCCCATTTGTCTTGTGCTTTACTACATCGCTTTTCTGCTTTTCTTTCGTTCATCTACATGGTCGCCTGTGTGATTGATAGACCTGAAACCCAAGTCTTACTATGCTGCTCTTCAGTGTAAACCCCTTTATTGAATCTCTAGTACCAATAGGATCAGGTTGGGGCTCTTTAATAAGGCACATATGGCCCTCCTGGGTCTGGGCCTCGTCCTTCTTTCTGGCCGTGTCTCTGGACATTTTACTGTGCAGCAGCACTGTTCTCATATTCATTCGTATTTACCATACTCTTTCTCACTGTAATGTGTTTTTGCTCATGATGCCCTTATGCATAGAATTCTCTTTTTCTCTTCCTCTGGCTAACCTGAACGATCTCAGTTTTTTTACCTCTCTAGGATTCTTCTTTGATGCCACCTCAAACTATGTTAAATACCTCACTCCTTGTGTTTGTTTGTTTTTTTTTATTATCTGCTTCCTAAATTGCATTCACTGGAACAACTTCCAAAGGTGGATTATGCTTATTCTAAGTTTTTCCGGTATTCCATGTTTGTAAGTTGCAGAGTCTTCATCATACACGGAAATATCTTTGCAGTACTTTATAATTTAGAGACTAAATTCCAAAATAATAGTATTTACTAACCCAAAGTAGTGTTTCCAGTATTTAGAGCTTACTGCAGTCTACATATTATCACCACCCACCTTGAATCTTAGTACAAGTTTAGAGATAACTTGAGGAATGCTGCTGACCGAAGAGGAACAAAGCTTCTTGAGTTTTGCTTCATTGGTGTAGTATCCATGTATGCTTAATTGTCCAGAGTTCAGAATCTGTGAGGTTTTGACTAAATTGGGTTAAATCTCCTGTTGAGAGGTAAGTTGTGATGCTACATTTCCATTATCTTAAGAGGGATTAAAATCCACCATCTATATAAAGCAAATCCCCTCCAGAAACATTTTTGCTTTTTTCTGAATAAAGTACAACATTCTCCTGGTGCTGCCTACAGTACCCGGATCTTTCCTAGGATGCCGTGTGTTCTCTTAGTGCTTAGGATTCTGAATAGTTACAAACTCAAATGTTAT